AGACCCAGGCCGTAGGGCCAACGGGCCGTTGTTGGCATCCAAGGGGGTGAGGGGCACGCCGATGGTGAGCTGTGCAAAGGGTCCAGGGAGAATAATGTCTCGGTGTCTGGTCCTTAGAGAGCATCCCCTGTCTCGGTGTCTCATTCGACAGAGCGTCCCCTGTCTCGTGGATGCCTGTCTCAATCATCTCTCTTGTGCCGTTGTGTCGTGTTTCGCTTAGCTCAACACTTGAGGTGTAACACATGGATGCGAAACTCTCAAATGACATCCAACTCACAGATCACACACCATCTCACACCATCCCATGAACACTGGGCGACTGGTTGTCAACGCATCTCTTGTGCTGCTTCGTGTCATCAAGGGCGACTGCGGTGGTGTCTTCGTGATCATCACTCGCCCCAGCCAGGGCCCCAGCTGCTCGGGTGCTCCGACCGTGGTGCATCCGTGGGGTGGGTCCGTGGCCAAAGGACCTGCTTGTGGTGGAATCGAATGAAACCATTCCACGCTGGAGCCTGAGAACGCAGGTAAGGCTGGAGGAGGTTGGAGGCCATCGCGGGTCGTAGGTCGGAGGCCATCGCTAGTAGGTTGGAGGCCATCGTTCTTAGGTTGGAGGCCACCGCAAGTAGGTTGGAGGCCATTGTTCTTAGGTTGGAGGCCATCGCTAGCAGGTTGGAAGCCATCGCTAGTAGGTTGGAGCCCCACCCACCGGAGCAAACATGCTCAACAGTTTGACTTTTTGAGGTCCTGCCTTCCATCACCCATTGGCACCAAGCAGATTGTTGTTCCTCCTCTGAGCGCCCACAAGCCATGTTATTGATGACATACCTGCAAATGGTATGAATCTGGGACACAAACAAACCTGTTTGGTGATGCTTGGCCAACACTTTACCATTCCGTTCATCTGCCTTGCGCAAAAACCACCGCTGGTCGACGAGGGTGTTTGAGGTTGTGGTTGGTTATAGACCTTGGTCGTGGACCACGTTCAGATTTCCGGCGAATGGTTAAAGCTGTAGATTTAGGTTGGATACACCCCCACATCAACCAAAAAGTCGTAAGCTCCAACGACCTTGAAAAAGGGGACCCCATCCACATCATTGGATCATCCATTCATCGAAAAGCACGCCCGGTTTCACCGCGCGCTTCCACGGAAGCGCGCTGGGTTAGGTTGTAGCGCACCTGGCAGTGACCTGCAAGACCAAGTCGTTGGAGACCAACCAATCCTTCGACCAGGGATCTTCGTAGGGCACGTGAACCTGACTTCGCTCCGCTCTCAGGGGCGAAGTGAAATATCCTGCGGGACGCGAAGCGGACCGAGAAAGCCGAGAAACAAGTGAACTCGGGAGACCATCGCGGGTGGTAAGGTCAAGTGGCCGGACATGTTCTTAGTGAACTCTTCTCGGCCCAATGGATTGCATCCGAAACCACATCTTTTAGGATTTCCTGACGCCTGGAGCACTTGGAACGATCTGTCCTTCTGGCAACTTCTCGAAATGCTGCTTCGCGGCCTCCTCCATGGCGAGCTGCTCATCGGCAGGGACCATCCCTTCCAAGACGACGAAGCCATTTCTCCTCAAAACCTCCAAGACTTCATCCACCAAGTCGGCTTGTTGCGATGAGCCAAGTTCAGACCAGTGGCTGCAATCCACGGCATAACTGCGGCCCAAAGGACTCGCCGCGGGGCCGTACATGTAGACCTTTGGAGGACCTGGAGACATCTGAAATGGCCAAGGGAGGAACGCGAAATGGTTCAAAAAGATCGTGCATTGGTCCCCCAGATCCTTTAGGAAAGAAACCACCCATGTCACACCATTTTATGAGCGCTTGGCTGTGCCGCTCGTTCGTTTCATCACTTCCAATCCCACTCCCAGGCCTAATGTGTCGTCCACACCTCCGTTCTGGTTGGCAAAGGGTTGCACCTGGACACTGAGTTCGAGCAAAGGTGGAGAGGTTGACATCAACGGAAGAGTGACATCATCGGAAGTCGGATCTGGTGCACCCAGTAGTATCCTTTCTTCCCCCTAAAAACAGGTCCTGTCTAGGTTTCCAAGCCCACCTCCACTCCCTGTGGATGATCTGGATGCCCAGGCGGTGGCATTGGAATAGAATCCCCATAGAAGCTTTTCGCCCGGAGCGCTTTTCGCTGCACCCTGGCTGGTGTTTGCTGGGTAAAGCAAACATACCAGCAACGTAGCGTGAAGAAGGTGAGCAAGGTCACCAAAATCCCAAGGGACGGCATGGGCGCCCCTGAAACGACAGAATTTCTGAAACGGTGACAGCACTATGCTTCATCTTGAAGAACTGCAAGGGATATGATATGCTATACAGGTTCGAAAAGAACTTGCAGTATTCTTGACGAACCAGTAGCCTTCCCAAGGTCCTGTTATTCTACCTGTGAGGGCGATATTTTGCTCGTGGTTGGTCATTTCATACGGATTTGGAGGAATGCATAGCCGTCATAGGATTGATGCTTGACAAACATAGTCGAACATAGTGAACATCGTGCATGGTCCTCCTGTGCCCCAGCAGGAACGCTTGATCCGATGCCGCAATGTCCATGTCCAATCCTCGCCCAGCGGCGTAAAAACAGTCCCTTGAATCGTTGAAGTTATTTTTCAGCAACACTTTGCGTCTATACTTGCGAAAATGCGATTGCCTCTACCCTGCAAAAAGCCAGTGCTCTACCTCATGCACCGATGCGTGACATCTTCTAGAGCCAATACCCAAACTGACTCGTGTAGTGGTTTGAAACAGCCATGGCTGCTCCGCAGATGAGCAGATCGTAGATCTCTCATGCGATCTCTGAAGCTTTCATGTGCTTTTTGAAACACATCTGGCAGGTTCTTTTCCACCACATTGTCTGGTTGTAAGCCTTCAACTCAACATCAGTTTAAGGCAATCGCGCAAAGATGTTCAGGATATTGTACTTGGTGAGTGGTATATATAGGTGCAAATATGTGCAAATGGTCTGAGTCTAGATCCAAAAAAACCAAATCCATAGGCAAAACGTCCGCCAAACGGCATACCGCTCTCATACTCTGCTCAGAGCCGGTGCCCTCTTCAGTCTTCTCCTGACGTCGCAGCTTCAAAGAGCACAAATGGTCCAGTCTCTGAGCACTGCACATTTGGTCCGGGGGAATACAAAAACAGACCCAACATCAGTGGTGAGCATGAAGGTCGCCATGAAAAAATGACACCGAACTGACGAGGCATACTTTCTAACGTCCTCCACAATGGTTGTTACATCCGCCATGGGGTGAAGCAAATCACGTCCACCTGTTCATGCATAGTCATGCATAGTCACTCTGTGAACATGGACAGATCCAAATCTCCTCCCATTCGCAGGAAAGAAACACATTCTGTACTCCATTTTCTTCTCTTGCGCATACTGTACATGGTGCGCAGGAACCGTACCGAAATGACATCCTGCACAGACACTTCGGCGACTTTCCAAAGCCCAGTTCCCAACTGTTGCGGCATAGTCCTACTAGGTTCAGGGTAGATGGCACAAATTATGAGTGTTCGAGATCGGCTTGGGTTTAAGGCCGTCTACCTTGAAGTCATTGTAATTTACATTCAAACCCGGTCTTCTGATGGTTCTTGTGCAACCCTGTCAAAGCTCACAAGTGGGACAGCCATCAGCCAGCTGCCGCATCAGCGGCTCCCTAGGCCGGCGGCCATCACAGGCAGGTGTATGAGGGAGCCGGTTGTGATGGCCTTGGTTTTGACAGGCAGTGCAGCAATGGCTGAAGTGCCTTCTGTAGCAGCATTCACGACCTCAGGTGTCGTGTCGGGAACGTCTTGTTTTGATTCTTCGCATTGAAGAATGGAAGGATTTAAAGATTGCACAAAGGGTGAACTTTTATACCGCTTATTTTTCGTTCTTTTTCGGGATATTTGTTCAAATCCTTGGGGCTCACAATGAGAGAAAAGGTACTGCGGACACAAGGCGGAGTGAGTGGCTGGGCTTGAAAGAGGAATAGTTTCGGCAGCAGGGCTGACACTTAAGAGAAACAGCTGCGTAGCAAGCAAAGTACAGTGGAAGAAGTAGTGCAGATTTCGCATTGGTCGCCGGTGAAGTGGAGCAGCGTGGTTGACCTTTACAAACCGTTTTTTTTGTCCCACTGGAAGGAGGTTGGGGGAAGGGCGTGTGCTTGGATGTTTTCTGTGTCCGGTTGCTTGTCTTTTTTCAGTTGCCCACACTGCGACTCACTTGCGCACACAGGCATGTGGCTGCATTGGAATGGCACCTCGCTCTCACAAAATGTTGGCTTTAATGCGTCTTGTAAGCACCACATGTGAGCAGTGCTGGACTTCAATGTTTTTTCCCACCAACACCGCAAAACAACCATGACATACATATGCGCAAAGCGTAATGAGTTTCTGTTTTGCAAAATAATACATGAACCACGAGTGTGTGCAAGTTGGGCAGTAGTGCAGACCCAACAGCAACAAGCGCAGCACAGTAGACCAAACAGCCACAAAAATCAGCAGAAGCAACAAAAAAAGGAGCCGAGTCAACAAAAACAAAGGTAAACACCAGAAGCAAAAAACAGCAAAAGCAAGCAGCAACAGCAAAACACAGTAAAAGCAAAAGCAAATAAAAAAAGAACGCAGCAAAAGCAGAAAAGCAGCAAAAGAAGAACACAGCAAAAGCAGAAAAGCAGCAAAAGCAAAACATCAGGAACATATCAAAGCACCAAAAGGACAAGCTGAAAAAACAGCTGAAAAAAACAATGAACAATGAAAGATAAACCATGCATCTCCATGTACCAATCATATATATATATATATACATTACATGTGTACATCACTACTGTTCAGAGTACCTCCCAGAATT